CTATATATATATATATATATATATATATATATATATATATATATATATATATATATATATATATATATATATATATATCTTGTTTCTTATTTCTTTTCACGCCTCTCTACTCGTGTATATATATGCAAGACAATGTCACATTGTAAAATGGATGTCAGGACTCTACAAGTCTACTGGTTACTACAAGCACTTAAACTTATTCAAATCCTAAAGAGATACAACCATGTTCTGTTGTTGTTGTTGTTGTTGTTGTTGTTTTAAACATGATAAAATAACAAGATGTGTGATTTATTCATGTTAACCAGAATTAAACGGCATCTTTTGCTTTCCTGTTGAGAACGCAGTTTGACAGTTCTGGCTTACCAGGTTCAATTCAGCTGCACCTTGTGATGACAGAAACATCAGAATAGAAAGCAAACTGAGGATCCTGGTTATCACGTCCGATAAATGCCTGTTCTTCATGGACCATGTGGAGACAGTTGCAGCAAAATGTCAACAACCACTCATTCATTGCACTCCAATCTTTTGGCACCAATGGGCATGGGACAAAGAATGTTGTTCACAGTTCCAGCATGCGATCCTCTGGATGACTGATTATGGATTCAAAATGCTTACCGTTTCAAAAGAGCCAGCTAATGAAACTTTAAAACATTGAGAATGAAGCAATGAGGGTAATTCTAGGATGCAGAAGTGATACCCAGGGTTGTATATATGCGATATATACTTGCACTGCCTACTATTTCAGATAGGCTCACAGTTTTGCTAGCAAAGTCATATTTCAGAGTAGCTGCAGACAAGAGGCACCTCCTGCATAAAGCCCTGGATAGATCTAGGTGTCACAGACTGAAAAGAGGAAGGTCTCAAATGGCACAAGCTGAAGACAAAATTAGACCTGTGTGCAGGATTGATAAAGAGAGAAGTGGGTCAAAGTGTCCCAGCAATAATCAGACTCGTGTAGAGTTCTAATCACTACGGTCCAGGCAAGGCCAGCTTAAGCTAGCCATGGAACGGAAGTGCAGGGACTGGCCAGTTGGTGCTGCACAATCCGAAATGTCACAAATGACATGACAATACTAGCCCAGCTGATGTGATGAACTATACCAATAGCTTTGTGTTGAGATGCGGACGAAGTTCATTGGGGTTCTTGGCAAAAGTGCACAGAGGTCGCTTAGTACAATAAGTCGTGCAAATGATACCACATCATCTAATGTAAGAACGCAGGTAGAGGCAGCCACTAAAGCCTTTTACTGGCTTCAGAAATAGCTGCACATATATGTCGGGGTTCTAAGGGGATATCCTCCGTGCAGAGAGGCAAGCATTACTTCGCAAGTGCCAGCCAAGTACAATTCTTTGGATATTTTTTCCAGCCTTTTTCCAGCCTTTACTGGCGTACTGGGGAACGAACAGGTAGACAGAATGGTTGGTTATTCACAATTTAGTGGCAAAATGATGCATGGCAAGCTCTATTCTGTAAGGGTTTTCTGAGAGCGAGTGAACAGCGGGAGGCACCAAGAGCTCATCACCATCCTAGGACAGGGGTGCAGCAGGGAGAGACCAGGAGCTCATCACTATCCTAAGATAGGGGTGCAGCAGGGAGAGACCAAGAGATCATCACTATCCTAAGACAGGGGTGCAGCAGGGAGAAACCAAGAGATCATCACTATCCTAAGACAGGGGTGCAGCAGGGATAGATCAGGAGATCATCACTATCCTAAGACAGGAGTGCCGCAGGGATAGATCAGGAGATCATCACTATCCTAAGACAGGGGTGCAGCAGGGAGAGACCAGGATATCATCACTATCCTAAGACAGGGGTGCAGCAGGGGGGGGGGACCAGGAGATCGCTCAACACTCGGGGTGAAAGCGAGGCGGACAAACACTCAGACTGGTAATGGTAGCATCGGAATTGGGACTCTTTGCCTGTGCTGAAGATGATGCAGGACGTTTTTGGAAATGTCCCAGGTGCCACGATGCAGGTTTTTTATCTCAACATCGTACTGCAACTACTGAGCTGTTGCTGCTAGGAAGGACCATCTTCCACGCCTTCGGGAGTAATGGGTATATAGGTCTAGACATTAATCTTAATGATTGAAAGGCAATTGGTGAGTCATGTGGTCAGCATCATGCCGATCACCTTTACTTCCCAGGACTGTAATAGGCGCCCATTCAAGGTTGGGTCGACGTGAAAGCCAAAGTCATTTTCGAAAAAAAACTCCGGACTCTTTCAACACCCGAACCCACGACCTTTCGATCCGAAGGCCGGGGATCTAGCCGCTAGACCACGACGGCTACGCTGCTGCTGCTACTGCTGCTGCTACTACTACTACTGCTACTACTGCTGCTGCTGTTGCCGTTAATAAAAAAAAAAGAGAACGAAACCTTATTACACACCACTATTTCCATTGGGAGAATCACACAGAACAGCCGGGTCGGCTGCAGAAGAAGAACTTCGAGTTTTCCTGGACAGAGACTCAGTCAGTCTGGAAAACCTTGCTCCCATGCTCCCGATGCGAAGCTGTCGGCCACGCCAAACAGTTCTGTTAGTGATCGGTAAGACTCTTTATCCACGGCCAAAGGTCAGCAGGCTAAAATCTCCTTCAGGACAATCGAATATTTCGCACACATTTTCACCTTTGTTGAATTAATCCATACGTTTTGAAAATCATTCGTTAATCACCACTTGTTTGAAAAACTAGTCAGATCCCACGCGCACACTTTGGTAACTGAGCAACGAAACAGAAGTTTGAAATCCACAATATTACCGAACCAATCCAATATTTAATTTGTAAAATATGTCACTCTCTAATGTAGGTGCCGAAAACAATGAAAATCGTCACATTACTATTGCTTCGTAATTGTGACAGTCAATACGTTCTGTGACAAGGAATAGTGTGACAGTTGTCACATTACTAACACATGGATAAGTATGTGAAAGGTTAGATGGTAAACTAATCCGTCTCTACCGCTCCAAATTTCCTTTAATGCATTTGTTATAGCTAATTCTCGCCTGGTGTTTACAGCATTTTGTTACATTCTTATTCTCCTATATTGTCTTGTTTATATTCTAACATTCTTATTCTCTTATGTTGACTTGTGCACTTTCAACATTATATTTCTCTTATATTGTCTTGTGCATCTTCTAACATCTCTTATGTTATCTTGTGTATCTATTAACATTATAAATCTCTTATGTTGTATTGTGTATCTATTAACATTATAGTTATCTTATGTGTCTTGTGTTTCTATTGACATTATAATAATCTTATGTTGTCTTGTGCAACGTCTAACCTTATAATTCTCTTATGTTATCTTGAGAATCTATTAACATTATAAACCTCTTATGTTGTCTTGTGCATTTTCTAAAATTTTAATTCTCTTTTTGTGTCTTGTGCTTCTTCCAGCATTCCAATTCTCTTATGGTGTCTTATGCATCTTCTAACATACTAATTCTCTTGTGTTATGTTTGGTGTATTCTACCTTCTATTTATAAGCGTTACTTAAGATCTACAACAGCATTAACAGCGTGTATATTTCCAGGATTTGACAACTGAGATGGGCTGCCATACTGGCGTATTTAAGGCCATATTCCACAATTTGGCGTATTTGAAATTGAGCTGACTAAAGATAATAAGTTGGCGTATTTTAGGTTTTTCCTGGCTTTTCTAAACAAGACCTGCTCACATTTTCTTCATGGTTACTCCGTGAGAAACAAGCAGATTTACTAAAAGCATTGTAGGCCTGCAGTTAACATCTTTATTTCAGTTTGTCTTTTCTGTGATGTCATGGTACAGACTAACGGAGATTTGCGCCATCTCTTATTGTATTTGTTGTCTTCCTAAACGGATCGTGATTTCGATAAACCAAGGCCCTCTGTAATTTATGTTAATTTACTAGACTAAATGCAAAATATAAAACCAAAACCCACCACTGATACCAAGTGAATCAGACTGTTTAGGAACTACTTGAGGATAGAAAATAGAGATGATATAGACCTAGTTCTATATGTGATATATTTTATCACTTTCACCAATGGCCACGTCATCACCAAATGGAAAGCATCTTCTGACAGCAGTCGACAGTATAGTAATAATTGGGAGAACACATACCCACGGCTCAAAATATCTTCAGACGGATCAGAGGCAGCATATTGTAAACTGTGTCAGTGCACGGTTACGCCAAGAATTAGTAGCAAATCAAAATATTAAAGTCAGAAAAACACAGGATGAAAACTCCCGTCAAAAAGCCAGTCACAGCAGAGTTGCAACCGGCTTTAAACATGACCTGCCATTGTGCAATACGCACAAATGATCAGCAAAGTAAAATCATGAGAGCGCACGGTCGTGGCAGTACAGTGGAGAACATACAGTTGCATAGTACTAAATATTCATGCATATATACATATATATATATATATATATATATATATATATATATATATATATATATATATAGCCTGCACCTAGGGCTGAAAAGGTTTACGCTGTATCCTCAGCGTGTCCCAGTGAGGAAGACATTCAGGAATTCAATCTAGAGCTTTAGATGTGAAGTGAGTACAATGTTACATTTTATTGTCCGTGTTTCTGGCGTATTTTGAGTAGTAGTTTGGTTTAGAATGAAGGTTTTTTTTTTTTTTCAAATCTGGCAACCCTGCAACCGGGTCTCTATCTCACAACAAAAAAGAATCCGCAACAAAGACAGGAGATTACGTCAGTTTAGGTCGGCGTGATCACATCGGCAAACCTACACAGTTTGAGGACCCGTCATTAACAGCCGAACTGTCTCCCTCCCTAATCTCCATTACTTGAACAAACAAGGTCCGGTGCTTTGTGGGCCCACTTGACATCCTCGCCGTGAGCTTTCTACAGAATATTTCCACAACTTTCAAACAAAGCACTCCTCTTCTTTCTTCACCCTCCTCCATATCCTTTTCCTCCCTCTCCTTGTCCTCCTCTATATTTTCTTCTTTTTCTTCTTCTTCTTCTTCTTCTTCTTCTTCTTCTTCTTCTTCTTCTTCTTCTTCTTCTTCTTCTTCTTCTTCTTCTTTTTCTTCTTCTTCTTCGAAGCGCACAATATAAGACGGACCTAAGTGTACTTTTAAAATAAAGTGCATTGTTTTGTTGTTGTTGTTGTTTTTTTTTTCTTATTCTCCTTTTATTATTATTAATTTAGTATTACATAAAATCATTCCCAACTGAGCATTTGTGAATTACAAACAGGCAGACAGACGGGAATAGACAGACTTCGTGCAGACAGACAGACAGAAGTATTGGCGTATAGACTGAAAGTGATCCACTTCTATTAAACATTTCAAGGGGAAGACAGAGGAGAATGTAGCAACGTTAGAAGATAGAGGAGAATGTAGCAACGTTAGAAGATAGAGGAGAATGTAGCAACGTTAGAAGATAGAGGAGAAGGTAGCGACGTTAGAAGATAGAGGAGAAGGTAGCAACGTTAAAAGATAGAGGAGAATGTAGCAACGTTAGAAGATAGAGGAGAATGTAGCAACGTTAGAAGACAGAGGAGAATGTAGCAACGTTAGAAGATAGAGGAGAATGTAGCAACGTTAGAAGATAGAGGAGAATGCAGCAACGTTAGAAGATAGAGGAGAATGTAGCAACGTTAGAAGATAGAGGAGAATGTAGCAACGTTAAAAGACAGAGGAGAATGTAGCAACGTTAGAAGATAGAGGAGAAGGTAGCAACGTTAGAAGATAGAGGAGAATGTAGCAACGTTAGAAGATAGAGGAGAATGTAGCAACGTTAGAAGACAGAGGAGAAGGTAGCAACGTTAGAAGATAGAGGAGAATATAGCAACGTTAGAAGACAGAGGAGAATGTAGCAACGTTAGAAGATAGAGGAGAATGTAGCAACGTTAGAAGACAGAGGAGAATGTAGCAACGTTAGAAGGTAAAGGAGAATGTAGCAACGTTAGAAGACAGAGGAGAATGTAGCAACGTTAGAAGACAGAGGAGAATGTAGCAACGTTAGTAGACAGAGGAGAATGTTGCAACGTTAGAAGATAGAGGAGAATGTAGCAACGTTAGAAAATAGAGGAGAATGTAGCAACGTTAGAAGACAGGGGAGAAGGTAGCAACGTTAGAAGATAAAGGAGAATGTAGCAACGTTAGAAGACAGAGGAGAAGGTAGCAACGTTAGAAGATAGAGGAGAATGTAGCAACGTTAGAAGATAGAGGAGAAGGTAGCAACGTTAGAAGACAGAGGAGAAGGTAGCAACGTTAGAAGATAGGGGAGAATGTAGCAATGTTAGAAGATAGAGGAAAATGTGGCAACGTTAGAAGATAGTGGCCATGAAACATTCAGTAGAGGAGCGCTAATCGCCAGCATACTTCCTGTCCGGACCATATAGCGTGAGTGTAATTTGAAAGATTATTGAGATAATTACAAGTGTAATGCGAGTTGGTGAAGGGGTAAGGTGGTGCTAAGGAAAGGGGTTGGGGTGCAATTTGTGAGGTGGTGTGAGGGAGTATTGTGTGGTAGTGAGGATGAAAAGAATTACTTATTCTCTGGAATGCCTGTCGACAGCCACTGGACATTAAACTTTCATGAATGGACTCCCAGAGGATTTCTTCCGCTCATCGTTCGGCATGTTACATTCGATTCAGCACAGACGGATGGATGGAAGGAAGCAGTGACTTTCTTCACATTTTCTCTAGTCTATCCGAATGATTTATGTTGGCCCCTGATAACTCTGCACAAAGCAAGAACTCGGTAGCACCAGCAACGAACTCCTAGTGGTCGTTAACATCAGGACTGGCGAAACAGAAGATTAAGTCCCAAATCAAAACAACATCTATCAGAAGCAAGAGACATACATCATAATAACGTATCCCTTCGATATCTGTCATGATTCTTAAAGTGTAAGTTATCAAATGATTCAAAGATTGTTTCAATCTAGGATGCAGTTTTAGTAAATATCCGTCAGTAACTGAATCTCTAGCTCACAGAATTCGCCTTTCTAAGTCTCAGATCTTACCTGTCTGTCACATACACAGACCTTTTTTCTTGTGTCACCGAGCCCTATTTCAGCTTTAACGGAATCAACATTTTTGAAACACCACTCTCTGACCACAGATAAACTAATCCCATTTGAGACTGTCATGTTTCATTAATAATTAAATCCATTGAAAACGAACCAGTGACATTAATATGATTACGTTTGTCCGTTGATGCACAAGTTGTGTTTCTCAGTAATTGCCTATCACAACCCACACAACATTCTGTGGTGTTTCCCAGGGATCAATATTCTCTGAGCTTTCTGTTTTTATATCTCATGGTAATGATCTTCCATTGCGTCAGAAAATTACTTGCGAGTCAGTTACGGTTGATTCTGCTCTACGGGAAAGTTACGGTTGATTCTGCTCTACGGGAAAGTTACGGTCGATTCTGCTCTACGGGAAAGTTAAGGTTGATTCTGCTCTACGGGACAGTTAGGGTTGATTCTGCTCTAGGGGAAAGTTACGGTTGATTCTGCTCTAGGGGA